CCTGCCCCAGTGCCCGCGGCTCCCTCGGGGCTGAGCCATGCTGGCCAGGCGCCCGCAGCTCTCCCGTGGTGTGTTTGCCCTGTGTGCAACTGCAGCTGTCAGCCCAGTGTCCCTCCCAAGTGGGATGATGCTTGCGATAACAAGTGAGCTATTTTGTAGGAGCAACCTAGAAAGTAGTGATTTTAAAGAAGAATGTTATTCTTAGTGTTAGGAGAAGTTTCTTTTAATGCTTGTTGAAAGTTACAGGATAATAGAAGATGTTATGGCTAAACCCACTTTGCTTCTTGCTTATGCTTGGGGAATTTATTCAGGTGCAAGTGTCAGTTGGGAGTAGAATGGTGCGTTTTTCTCTGTGTGCCTTTCCCCAGCTGCTTTGTACTGTTGCTCTGCTTACATGAGGGCAGACAATTGTTTGTCTCTTGTAATCTTCCTCCTGTTTTTGGTCAGCACCATCAGCCATCCTCGGCAGGATGTTACGTTTCAGTTACATCACGAAATGGTTACAATTCAGGTGCAAGTGTCAGTTGGGAGTAGAATGGTGCGTTTTTCTCTGTGTGCCTTTCCCCAGCTGCTTTGTACTGTTGCTCTGCTTACATGAGGGCAGACAATTGTTTGTCTCTTGTAATCTTCCTCCTGTTTTTGGTCAGCACCATCAGCCATCCTCGGCAGGATGTTACGTTTCAGTTACATCACGAAATGGTTACATAACGCAGTGTTTGCCCTTTTTCTCCTGATCTGATTTCCTTCTCTGTGCATCTGCCTGAGCATGCTCAGACTCTTGGGGTTTGGTTCAGGGGTCAGTGAAATCAAAGCAAAGACTGTGATGCCAGGAGTGATAGTGTTACAAACAAGCTGTTTGCATACGAGGCCTGCTGCCATCCTAGTCTAGGGGTTTTCACACCTCAAATGGTTACATAACGCAGTGTTTGCCCTTTTTTTTTTCTCCTGATTTCCTTCTCTGTGCATCTGCCTGAGCATGCTCAGACTCTTGGGGTTTGGTTCAGGGGTCAGTGAAATCAAAGCAAAGACTGTGATGCCAGGAGTGATAGTGTTACAAACAAGCTGTTTGCATACGAGGCCTGCTGCCATCCTAGTCTAGGGGTTTCACACCTCCTTTTGTCCTTCCTACCGTCCCTCCCTCAGCTCAGGGAAATGCACACTGTTCATCTGCAGGGCTGCAGGGAATTTCCCTGTGCCAGTTATGGCACTGTGCCTGGTGGACACTCCTGCTGAGCGTGGCTGATTGTGGGTGAGGGACCGGAGCTAAGGTTAGCAGAGGGGCAGAGCTGATGTGCAGAGTAGTGTTGGTGAGATGGACTACATGGTGTTACCAGGGCTCAGAGATCAGTTTTCCATGCCTGACCCCTGTCTTGGTCTTAATTATTAGCAGAAGTCATGGGGAGACTTGTCCTGGCAAAGACCTTTTTGTTACCTGTTCAACATCTTCCATTCATGCACTCATACTTACAAACCAATAATGTACAATGCAAGTAGCTCAAGCTTGTCTAAGTGTATTCACTCGTTGCATATGAATTACAAGAGAAGATAGTATGGCACAAGCAGTAAGTCACTCAGCACTGGGTCCTAAAACTATTAACCTTTACAGAAAGAGGTTTTTGTTAATCATCTTGTTCTCAAGGAATTTTCCTGACACCCAGTTGCTGAAGATACAACTCAAACTTCATATGCTTTTGTCAGACCCCACAGCTTGGTGGATGGTGTGGATGTTACAGATCAGAATGCAATAGTTGTACGGCAAAGGGCCTGTGTCCCCAGGCACACTGCACTAACAAGGACACCTGAAGTGCCACACTGTCAAAACACCTGCTAGCTATCCCAGGCTGTGCTCTAGACAAGTTAATTGTTGTCTTTTACCTTCAGGCAGCAATTATGTAACTCATTCTTTCAGGACGGAGCTTTCTTCTGTGCTCACATATCCTTAACCCTGCAGCCTTAAGTGGTATTGGTGCAAGACAAGATAAAAAAATCAGTTGCTAGTTTATTCTTCTGTGTTCTGCTTTGCTATTTCAGCCATGCAGAGACACTCTACATCTAATGATTAGGGAATTAGTACAGCTCACATTTTGATCTTCAGAACGATGCTACCACCTCCTACAATCAAAGAAGAAAACCTGACTGAACACATACACTGTGCCTTTGCTGCCAGGAGGGAGACAGTGTGCAAGCTACATAGTGGCCAACTTTAGGCAGTGGTAGAGGCTCATTAGATCCCTGAAGGAGGGCAGGATAAAATCATCTTCAGTATTCTGCATTGAAAGGGTACTCCTTGTGATTTTTGCACCTGGAGGAAACCAAAGAGGAAAGATTACTCAAGGCTGAAATAACTGCTACACAGAACAGTGGGTATACAGAGGAGCCTTCAAGGGAGGTTCTGCATCAAGTAACTGCAGAATGAATTTAAGAGACTTAGAACAGAAATATCACACGTGATCAACAAGTTCCAGTCTTATTATTCAGGCACTGAACAGTGGTAGGACCAAGTTACTTTCTAGATAAAGAGTTAAAGTTCACCCTGTTTACAGAGAAAACTGCAGTTTCTGTGGCCTTTCAGCCAAGACTTCTTGTCTTCCTCTAGGCTTCCAAGGGTGTAGCTGCAAGCAGTTGTGCTTTGTACTACACCACAGATGGTCATTCTCTCCTCCAACCACTGATGTAAGAGCTGGCATCAGTTTATAATACATCACAGAAAAAAAACCTACCATAAGCTTAAAACTGCCTAAAGCTCATTTCTCCAATATGGGCATGGGCAAAGTCAGAACCCTCCCTTTGGAATTTCAGGCACAGAAAGTTTCCTGGACTAATGGATTTACAGTGAATACACAGTATGACTTATCCTTTAGTCAATACAGTGAAAGTATAACTACACTAAGATGTTAAATACCAGATGCTTCATCCCCCAAATGATTTCAGATTTCAAAATATACCCAATTTAAAGAGCTATACCAGCACCCGAATAAAGGTATCAGACCTCCAGTATTCAGTACCTGAATCAGAATTAAGATCACTGAAAATGAAAGTCTGAAGGAGACAAACTATCACTTACGTGATCATTTCGCAGATCCTCCAGTTTCTGTCCAGGCTGAGCAGGGTTGTCATCTCCTCTTTGGTCAACTCAAAGTCAAACACCTAATAAGAGAAACAGCTGGAAATCACCTCTTGGAATGAGTCAAACCAGATGCAGGATTCACAGGATGAAAGAACAAGTTCACATCAGAAAGGGTGCTAGTTATAAGTGCTGGCTTCATGAAACAGGGAAAGGAAAAGTAGGATCTTTGCATTTTTGAGAGGGAAGAAACAAACAAATTGACTGCCAGCTGCACTGACACGTGCCAGCCGTTCCAAGGTGTTTGGAGAGCACTCAGTGTTGCAGAATGCCTCCATCCTCCATTTCTGAAAGAAACATCTACAACAATTTCATATTTCAATAAATCCGTCTGTGTTACTGCTGAAATCCTGAGGTCCAGTATCAGAAAAACCCCTTAACAGGCAGGCGAGGTATTGCTTTGTTGACACCAGAACTCTTCCCCTAAAGCTGCTTACTCTGTATTTTGAGGACTATTACTGCGTTTGTGCTCCAAGCAAGCCCTGCCCAGCATTTCATCCACAAGTCACAGAACAGGAGACACCACGTAAAGTGGCTGATAATGTTATTAGCATGCTGTTTCCAAGAGCTCTGTCTCTTTTCTTCAGCTGTAGTTTGGACTGTAGCCCTTAGCTTCCAGACACAGACAAAGAGCCTTGTCCTCTTGCCGGAGGAGAAGCTGGGAAGGGTGAGAGAGTGTCACTGCTTGCTCTGCAGGAGCAGCCATGCCTTCCCTGCAGGGCAGCACCCAGCTCCCTCCTGACCCCTCACCTTGAAGTTCTCCACGATGCGCTGTGGTGTGACAGACTTGGGAATCACAATCACATTCCTCTGGATCTGGAAGCGAAGGAGAACCTGCAGGAACAGACAACGGAATCATTCCTCCTGCTGTGGAGGAAGCAGATCCTGATCCAACAGCTGTTTTGCCTAAGCCATAGCCACTCCTGCAGAGCTGCACTTCAAATCATTCCTGTCCCTGCAGCACAGGTAGCACTGCCTGGAGTGCAGAGGGAATTGGTGAAGGCTCCCATGGAAGGCCTCCTTTCCCATCCAGTTTTGGGACAATTCCTTTGCTTTGCACTCTCCCATCCAGTTTTGGGACAATTCCTTTTCTTTGCACTCAGGCTTTCAGCAGTCTATGCAAGGCTTTCATTCGCTGCAGGAAGACTTGAGAGGGGAAGTGACATCTGAAGATGGGTGATGAATCTTTTCTTGGCTGAGAGGCAAAGAGCTAGTAGTGGACAACCTGCATTGCTTGTTCCCACCACAAAACAGCACCACAGCTCACAGGTAACACAGATAATGCTGTTCCCTCTTTCAGACATAGTTTCCTCAATGGCTGTTTTAAGGAATGAGTACCCACTGTGTGGCACCTACTCACCTGTGCTGGGGTTTTGTTGTGCCTGGCTGCAATCTCTTTGATCTTGGGGTCATCCAGAAGGGAAGGAGCATCTGGCTTACTTCTAGACAGAGGGGAAAAAAAGGAAGAAACAAAGAATCACTCAAGAGACATCCTGCCTAGCATAAGCAATTTAGAATAGAAATTAAATCACACCAACACACTTGGGAATTACCCGTCAGGGCGTCCCAGGGGACAGTATGCTGTCACAGTGATCCCTTTGGACTGGCAATAGTTGATCAGCTTCTCCTGGGCAAGGTATGGATGACACTCAATCTGCCAACACAGAAGCAGAGACTGAGAGTTGTAGAACTACTGTAGTTCTCCCATGCTCCAGAGATTTTTCAAAATCCTAGCTTCCTAATTCCAGGCTGCCTTTATCCTACCATGCATGTGATCTGTGTAACAAGACTCTAATTCCATAGGGCACCAACTTTTATACTGAGCCTTTATGTGCTTTTTGCATTTTGCTCAGAGAGGCTTAAAAAAAGTCAATGATTATAGTCAGAATTACTGCTCATATTTGGAGTCTTTATCCCTCCAGAGAGAATGCTTCCTAGGAAAATACTCCAGAATTTGTAAACAAGGTGAGACTAAAAGGATATATTTTGGTTCTGTTTGTACCAAGAAATATCCAGAGAGAGGGATTTAAAGTACATGCTGTGTCTGCTTTGTTCTCCCTTTTTCCATCTCCTCATTCAACTGTAATCAGACCTTTATAATCCCTCAAAAGTATTTACCTGCAGTCACTTTGCAGCTTACCTGGTTGTTTGCAGGCTTGTGTTTCAGGCCTGGCTTGTTCAAGATTCTTTCAGTCTGATCACGGTTGAAGTTGGAGATTCCAATGGCTTTTACCAGACCAGCATCCACCAGCTCTTCCATGGCCTGAGACAAAGGGGAGCACAGTCAGCATGCAGTGTACCAGACATGACCTGAGTGATGTGCCTTGTTTCTCTTCATGGGAAGCACATTTTAAAAGCTACCATGTACTTCTGTGAGCTCTTTCCAACTAATTTACATGTATGAGCCATTCTGCAGCAGCTGAAGCTAACACCATTGCTGAGGACAGAAGACATGACTCCTCCACTCGAGATGAACTTACCTCCCACGTCTGTAGAATATCTGTGTTGCTGGGGATAGCCATGCCTTTGTCATCTGTGGGGAACAGGTCCTCTCCTGCCTGTCAGCAAGAGAGAAAAGGCTTGAAAACCTGTTGAGAAGTTCACGCAATACCATGAGAGCTCACAACCACAATAGCTTAAACTTCTAGTGCAGGCAAGAGCACTAATTCCTGCCTACATTCAGTCATTCTTTCCTGAGAAGGAGGAGGAATTTAAGGCATTTTTGCCAGTGACCATTCCCATAAAAACAGGTTTTTCTGCTGGACCCCTGGAACTGATAGCTCACCCAAACACCTACAGGGAAACAAACCACTCAGGACTATATCCTCCAGTCTCATGTGTTCACTTCAGGTGTTGTTCTTTAGTTCCCACTTAGGAAGAACTGTTTTGCTCTTTTCCCAGAAGGGTATCAGAGAACCTAGTTAGGTACTGGGAACATTTTGGTCTACACAACACCAGATCTGGTGAAAAGAGGTATGATGTGCAGTGACAGTTCTTCCATAACAAAGCTCAGTGTAAACCCACTAACACTAAGAAAATTAGAAGAGCCTTAGTGTACAAGTTATGAAAAGTTGCATTTAGCAGCTGTCTGCTCCTGTCACCATGAGACAGTTTCATGGCTTTGTTAATATAAAGGCAAAACAGAGCAGGAAATAAAGGTGAGCATGTCAAAAGTAACAGGTAAGACAGAAACTAAGCAGACTGAGCAGGACAGAAAGGCTAAGACTAGAAATATTCAAATCATGACATCAACTCCTTCACTAATTTTGCGGGCCTAAACTCTACACAGGAGTTTTACCTTTTAAATTCCTATCTCAGTGGAACACCACTAAGGCTCCTACAAGCAAGAACAGCTCAATTTGCCCTGCATTAAAGACTTGGTGATCAAAGAGAGAAATGGAAAACAAAAATATTTTCTTTTGCTCTCTGACTCCCTAACACACAGAGGAAAATTTCTGACGTGCAACGAAGTGCAGCTCTCCTCTTACAAGGGGAAATTTTGAATGAACATACACTGGATTTGTAAGAGAAAGGGAAAGCAGACTATCTCATGCTTGCAGTGGGAGATCTGCCCCTAGTTTTCAGACCATCATTCCCAGGATCAAATGGGCAGGCAAGCAACAGTCTCAGGGGAGAGACAAAGAGCCTGGCTCACATGGCCAGAGTAAGGCTGAGCACCAGAGCAGTGCTGGCACAGGTGACAGACACAGGTGATTGTCTTTCTCAGCCAGAGTAATTGTTGGGCTGTGAAGCCATATAGCTCACCAAAAGCCACAGTCACGAGTCCAAGGGCATTGCTGTTACTGTACCTTGAACCCAAAAGGCCAGTGGACAAGGTAGAGATCCAGGTAATCCAGTTTCAGGGCAGCAAGAGTCTTCTGGCAGGCTGCCTTCACCAGAGACTTCTCATGAAATGTGCACCACAGCTAGAGAAAAGAACAATGCACACTGACTTCCTGGATTAAAACTCTTGGGTCCTCTCCTGCACAGCACAGAAATGCTCCGTGTTCTTTGGAAGGCAATATGGAATGAGGTGTCCTAGTGCTCTTCAGATGTGGCTAGCTCTGGGATGGCCTGTGACACTGCAGGCAGTGTGTGCAGTAGTAGCACAGCCCTTGAGCAGGATCATAACAAAGTCCTCTGGTTCAGACATAATTTGTATCACTCACTTTCCCTGCACATTGCTCTGCAGTTGGCCTCTACTCATCCATCCCCCAGCACTTTGTCTCCTCAGCTCAGTGCCAGAGCACAACAGGGCTGTGCTGCTCAAGGTTTCTGTACATTTTGGGGAGGAAAACAGTCTTGACTCCCTTCAGTGTTATTGGATTCACCAGGGAATAAAGCTGCCACGGGACAGTTAGGGTAAGGGTGATACTTTTCAAGGAACTCACTCTTCCTATCCAATGGCTACAACAATAAAAATTACTGTCAGTGGACAGGAAAGGATCAAACTCTTATCACTGCACTGATGAAGTCAAACAAGAAACTAATATAAGGAGTGATCTCATTTACATTATGAGCTTCTCCAATGCCACACCATTAAATTCCTTTAATTTCCTACTGTAAAAATATCATAGGTAAAGCCAGTCTGTCCATGACCCATGGCCATCTAAAGCCAGTCTGACCATGATCCAAGACTGGTCCATACCTTACTGACGATGAAGAGGTCCTCTCGTTTCACAACACCTTCCTTGATTTTCTGCTGGATCCCATCCCCAACTTCCTTCTCATTCTGGTACACATAGGCACAGTCGAAGTGTCGGTACCCAGCATCGATGGCAGCTGTCACTGCAGCTGTTACCTGCCCTGGGGAAGACTAACGGGAAAAAGGGGATGATGTGCCTTGACTTGGGATTTTCACATGCTTTCCCTTTGGTAGCCACAGGGTAGAGAAACAAAAGGGCTTTAAGAATCATAGATTTTAGGGGTTGGAATGGACCAGTCCAAGCCCTGGGCAGGGACACCTCCCACCAGAGCAGGTTGCTCAAGGTTTCATCCAACCAGGCCTTGAACACTGCCAGGGTGGGGGCAGCCACAGCCTCCCTGGGCAACCTGTGCCAGTGTCTCACCGGACAAATCTTTTTCCTAGTATCTGTCCTAAATTTCCCCTTTCAATTTGAGTCCTTTACCCCTTGTCCTACCGCTGCAGTTCCTAAGAAGGAATCCCTCTCCGGTTCCCCTGCAGCCCTCTACACCTTTTCCGCCTATCTTTTTCTGGGTAAGTACACAACACGAGCACAGGCCCCGGAGCT